GTTAAAATAATTGACTTTATACCCTATCCAGTATTCGTCCATTTTTATGCATCACGTCATATTTGATGGATCAACATAAAGACCTCTTGGAAGGGAAAATTCTTACCCACAAATCGCTCTTCAAAATAAAATCCCTAAAATCAATTTTAATATTAATAAATCTGCTTTTGGTGATGTGAAAAAAATCAGGTTTAACACAATGAACCGACAAAGGAAATACCTCGAGAAATACAAAGCAAGACGTAAATAGAAAATCCTTAAACCGAAATAAAAGTATAGGTGTCTCAATTTAAAATTAATCCTCGTCGTTCCAGAGTTAACATAATAAACTGGATCTAAGCTTTTAAGTGTAATGTGCGAGTATTTAGTACCTTTCTATAAATGTTTCCGTTATACAACGCTTTTCTAAATAAACAAAAGCGGGCTGCACCTCGGGTGAGTGTAAATCGAAAATGTAAAAATTACATTCTCATGAATAAAATAGATTTTTAGATCTCGTTTACACCAGTCTAGACGCCTCGTTGATGTTCTGAATAGCAGCTATCGACTCATATAAAACAATTCCCATTATGCTCTGAATGTAAAAACCTGGATGATAGAAACTGGGGTTTGCAATGCACGCTCCCATCTATTTTCTTTACATTAATTGTATACAGTTTTCTATTTCTAATCTAAATATTTAACTTGCTTTGATCGGATGAGATACGACTAATTGATGTACGTATAAATATATCTTGACTAGTAAATAATGTAGTTCATACAGATTAGATTCCCAAAATTATGATATAAGTGCTACGAAAGATAATAAATTATATGTATACAGGGTGTCTGCGAAAAGTTAGCTACCAGTATCTCCAGTTTCGCGATTTCCGAACCTTCCGCAGACACCCTATATACAGTGTAGGAAAGTACCGATGGTCTATCAGAAGTTACGCGAGAGCGATAAAGTAAGCCATAGAAATCCATGTGATAGACAAGGATGGCTATAATGAAGGCGTCTAATAGTCAACGCCCATTTCGCCCTTCCACAAATAAGAAGTGGATCTTATTTGTGCAAGGGCGAAACGGGCGGTGACTATGATACGCCTTCATTATAGCCATCCTTCTCTATCGCATGGATTTCTATGGCTTACTTTATCGCTCTCACGTAACTTCAGATAGACCATCGGTACTTTCCTACCCTGTAGAAAGTCAGATATAGCGTATTTCGGGAAAAGTCGTATGTCAATTTCATTATGTGAAACTCAATGTTTTCTATCAAGTTTCATTCAATATTAAATATATTTTCTCATTTTTGCTTCATTCAGCACGGATGAAAATCATTTTCTTAGTTCCGTGAATATATTCAACGAATATTTCTGTTTATAAAAAAAAATGTGAAGCTGAATTTATTCGATAGTAAACTGAGGAACCCCATTTCATTTATAAAGAGTAAAGAAAATATTGACTTATGTTTTAATATTTCATTTATAACGAATGTTCTCAAATAAAAATGACACGTTAAGTATTAAAATAATAAACTTACGGCACAATGAATGTATAATAAATATAATTTTTAAGTAACACCAACAATTGTATATCTTAATACGTAGTTCATTTAGTCTAAATAAGTAATAAGTATAGATTAAAAATGACGTCAATTATAACGAAATCCTCATTTTCATGTTAATAAAATGATCCGGATTATACGGCATCCGAGACGGCATCGTGAATTATTTGACTGATATATTTTATTACATACTCTTTTTTCAATTGATTTTGTTATTAATAAGCTCACACTGAGTACCCATAAAAACTAGAAATTGCTGTATCGTAATTTTAAATAACATAATATTAATGAACTTCGCTTCACGATATTGTGTTTTAAGCTTTGCAGATGTTATTGGCACCAATTCAATTACAATTTACTAAAATAAAACATAGTTAAAATTTAGTTTTAAATATGAAAACCTGAGATCCCTTTGAAACGGACATCCCTCATTGCTTATACTACATTAGAAGGGTGATACCACGGTAAGTGCAAAAAAAACAGAGGAAGTTAAAACTAAAAAATCTGGCAAGTTTGCCTCTATCACCAATAGTAACGGTGTAAAAGTTACAGGGTGCTGAATTAAATTATTTTTGGGATTAGCGTAGAAAGGCACAAACATTCATTTGGTTACTTTTTGATAATGTAATAAAATAACTAGCTACACTGTAATAAAAATTTACTATTAAAAAATTATTCAGTGATTCAGTAAATATGAGAGATTTCTACATTGTTTCACTCTAACTTTTATAACAACGAAATAATTTATAATCATGTTGGATTCAGATTTGTTAAACATTTAGCACGAACTCTTTATTTATTGATTATAGGGTTTCGAAGATGGTAATGTCACACCACAAGTAGTTCAGTTAAAGTGATGCAATTTATGAAACATGGTGTTACAAATATAAAATAAATAAAACGAATTACACATTAACAAAATATAACACTTGAAATGCCAAGAACCCGTCCTAATTTTGTTCAGATAGGTAGCTACTGTGATGGACTTGCTCTGTGCTGAGCTTGAAATTTTTTATCTTCAGTGATTCTTGAGTATTGATCAAAAACTGTGAACTTAATTTTAGGCTTTTTTTTTGTTTGTTTATTCTGACAAGAAAATTTGTCGCTGCACATTCACATAGTCAATTATTGTTATAAATGACATTTTTCTGTCTTTTGTTTTAGTTTGTTGTCGTTACATCATTGATTGAAGAGAATTTTAATAACAATAATACCAGTGATGTTACACAAATGTAATTACCTACTTATTTTCATTCAGTTACATTTTAGTATATCTCAATAAGGAAATATATGTATAACTTAACAATTATTATAGGACTCCCTATGAATAATAGTTTGTGGAATTGTTATTTTTGCAAAAACCGCTTATCTAATAATTCGTTTACATTTCCTGTTTGTGGAAATGAACAGAATATTTTCCGGCTGAATAAAATTGGTGCCAGTGAATATTATTGCAGCCATGGGCGTAGCTAGGAATTTTGCTCTTTCAAAAAATAGAAATTACACGTACTAGATTAAAGAAACAAATTAACTTTATTCATACACATCTGTATAATTAAAAAAAATAAATCTTTACTTTATTAGCCTTCTCGGAATTGCAGAAAAGATTCCGTTTTTCTATGCCCATGTTAGGCTTTTCTATTTTGTATTTAAGTAGTCAACAATTAATATTTTAAATGGTCTTATATTTTTCTCCTTGAATATTTGCAAAAAAAAAAAATATTTTTGATATTGAAACGTGTTCACATTTTAGCTCGTACTTATTACCTACAAAGCAATTTTATATTATATAGCAATATATCTAAATTTTATTATAGGCATAGAAGTCAGGTTCTAAAATTAAAGAGGGAGGACTTTCTTAATAAATTATATTAGCGTTTTTTTTATCTAAAGATTAATCCTATGTTCTAATTTCAAAACCGTGTTTCCTTTTGCTTTTAATTTTTTATAAAATTCCTAGGTAATTTTTTTTATCTGACCTAGCTGATAAAAATTTAGCATATTTATTGAAAACATTCTCAACAAAAAAAATACATAACAACAATAAGATAATTATTTGTGCTGTGATGTTTTTTCTTCTTTTGTTATGTATTATTTGATGTGAAAATTTTTAATAACTGCAAAAATATTAGCAGCCGGTTTACAGCTAGGTGAAAATATTTTCTTGAAAATTAGAGAACTTAATTTAGCACAGAAAATAAAAGAAAAAGTTTGAATACCCTTGATAATTTTTAAATTAATGCTTATGCTAAATTAAAAAAATTAAATAAATCTTTGGGTACCCATACATTATGTTGAATACTTTTAAAGATCTTTATACAAATTGGTGCAGTGGGATTTATAACAATACTAAATTAGAATATACCTATTACTATTTTCAGATGAAAATCCACTTATTTTTTAAATTTAAAACCGGGCACCTATGACTCAAATCAAATTGATTATATTGCTTTGTAGGTACCTACCTAATTATTTCTTACTAAAATGTCAAAATGTTTTAATTTAAAATTTCAAATATAAAGGTGGCGGCTCCATGAAAAGTGAAAACTATACATTGTATCATAAAACATCCCAAGCTCTACTAATATTAGTTAGTAATGAACATTCACAATACTAATATGTAATAAATATTGGAGAAGAGCTTTTATGACTTAGATTAATTTTGTTGCTAATTATGTAGAAATTTGGTGTATCCAAAAATAGTACTACTGAAGTTATTTTTATATCGAAATATGTCCAGGTCTAACATACATACTATTTTTATAGCATTAGAAGCAAGTCAACGCTTGACATGTTTGGTATACCTTTATAATGTATGTCTGATTATATTCTAACCAACCAAACCATTGCTTCTTCAAAGTAGTACAGGATGTCTCGAAATTAGCCTGCAATATTTTATGTACAAGCGCATTCTGCTGCTAAAAATAAGAAAGATTTATGTGAACATGGATGGAGAAATGTCTTCTAAAGGAGTTACAACTTACAGCCATTTAAAAGTGATCTCCTGAAAGCAATTTTTTTACAGTTACATATTTAGATATCTCTGGAACCATTCAAGGTAAAACAGTAAAATTTGGAAACGAGTATTATTACTATTAGGTTCTGAATTTAATGGCTAAAACATAATTTCTAATTTTTAGTCATCGGCATCCTAAGCTGGAGAAAGAGGTTGTGGCTAAATTTTGTTGTAACTTTTGCGAACGTTTGATAAAAAATTAGAAGTTTTAGATAATTTTATGGTAAAAATGTTTTCATTGATCTTCTTAATTGGTTGTACCGTTCGGGGGTAAATTGATTTAAAAATTTTGGAACATGCTAGTAAAATATTGCAGGCTTATTTTGGGATATCCTGTAGAAAAATAAATATAAAACCGCTAACTTGAATTGTTAATTAAAAAATTTAAACATATAACTACAAAATTATAAATAAAAAAATTTGTTTTTGTTTCAGTTGAAGTTGTACCACATCAGCCGCAGGTACATGTTCAGGAAAAGTCAAAATTCAATTTAACGTGTAATGTGTCGAACATTGGTAACCAGCAAGTGAGGGTTGAATGGTGAGTGCTAATTTTTTGCAAATTTTTAATAAATATTAAATATTTGATATATATTTAATTAATAATTTCTCATATAAGGATCCTTGTGGTGCTTTACATAAAGTAATTTTTTTAATTCATTCACAAAACTTTCTAATTTCGTAGTAATTTTATTATATAGGATGTCCGGAAAGGTCATGTCAAAAATGAAGGGGTATACAGGGGAGGTCAAAATAGTTGTAGTATGTCATAAAAAAAATTTTACTACCGGGCTTCGTTGTGGAGTTATTCGCCTCCAAAGAAAGAAGTATGAAAACAAATTCCAATTATAACTTCTAAGTCGTTACCATGACAACAATGAAATTTGGGCAATTAAAGTAACTCATGATAATGTTCATTTCCAAGTTTAAACTGATATTCGATATGCCTGGATTATATAGGAGCAGACGAATTGAATTCATTTAAATTTATACATTTTTGACGGCATTGCCAAATTTGGCATTTTTTCATAGTTCGATTTCTCTCTCATCTTGCTAAAAAAAAGTTATACCGTTTTTGAGAAAATCGAATTTTATTAACAACATACATGTATCAAAAATGCGATATTAACATTTTTGCAAAAATCTTGAAAATTGAGATGACTGTCAACAAGTATATATAATTAGCAGTTAGATATTTGTCATTAAATCATTTTGACACCATTTGTTGATTCAATATCATGGAGGTGTGATTTAGCTACGAAGAATTTGCAGATATTCATCTAATGTATGAACTTGCAGAATGTAATGCTCCTGAAGCTGTTCGGATTTACGCCAACCGCTTTCCAAATAGAATTTGCATATTTGAAGTGACGAAAACCCTCATGCTATTATTCAAACAAAACACTAACAAAAATGTATCATTAATGTATGGATGGGAATAATTGGAAACTACTTAGTGGGACCACGTATCATTGATGACGCTTTAAATGGTGATAAACACCTACATTTACTGCAAGAACATCTTAACCTGTTATTGGAATCCCTTTAAATATTTGAAATAACGTGTGGCTTATGCCCGATGGTGCACCACCCCATTTTAGTGGGGCAATAAGGACTTATTTAAATACCTACTTTTCCGTGTCTGCCTCGGTCTCCCGATCTTAATCCTCTCGATTTTTTTCTTTGGGGCTATCTTAAAAGTCTTGTTTATCAAACTTTTATAAATAGTAGGGAAGAATTATTAAATCGCATAATTACATACGTCGACATCATTAGACATGATCACCACATGTTATGTTAAGTACACCAAAGGTGTTTGAGCAATTTCAGAAAATGCATTGAAGTTCAGGGTGCACATATTGAACATCTTACTTTTTTCTTTTAATTCTTTAGAAGTCAAGATTTTTACAAAAATGTTAGTATCACATTTTTGATACAATAAATGTATATTGTTAATAAAATTCGATTTTCCCAAAAACTGTACAAGACATCGGCTGGTATACGGTATACTTTTTTTTAACAAAGTGAGAAAGGAAACGAACTATGAAAGAAAAATGTCAAATTTGGCAACATTGTCAAAGATGTATGAATTTAAACGGATAATTTCCTCTGCTCCTGTATAATCCAGGCACATTGAATATCAGTTTACTTAGAAAATAACATTACCATGAGTTACTTTAATTTCCCAAATTTCATTGTTGTCATGGTAACGACTTACAAGTTATAAGTAATTGAAATTTGTTTTCAAACTTCTTTCTTTGAAGGCGAATAACTCACAACGAAGCCCAGTAGGAAAAAATTTTTTATGAAGTACTACAACTATTTTGAGCTCCCCTGTACATTTTTGACATGACCTATCCTGACACCCTGTATATATTTTACTTGTTCCTTATGAAATAGTTATACATTTACAAATTTATTTATTTTATTTCTTATAGGGTAGTTTGAATAATTAATTTACCCAAAATTAAAAATTAATTAAATTGATTATAACCGTACAGTTTATTGTCTCAACATCTACTACCCCCTTAATATATAATTTCAACAGTACCGTTGTTGTATTTTTTATATTGTTTGCATGCATTTATTTTTGTTTTCATCAACACCTTTTTAAAGTTTCAGCAACCCATGCATTTAAAATACTAAAACTATCTACTTAGTTTTTACCTCTTTATAGCATAGAAGTGCAGAAGAATACAGTGTGTTTTGAACAGCATCACCTTCGTATTTTATAATGTATGGGTTCGTTTTCAAAATTTTTTGTCAGCATGAAATACTCGATAAAATCTAATTTACCCACAGATAATAGAGAACTATTCTTTTGTTTATGTCCTATCACTATTATATACTGTGTTTAAAACACTTTGTCACGAATTAGAAAATCATATTTTTTTTAATAAAAAGAACGTAAAAATGACAACTGGTTAAAATTAAAATGATCATATTTTGATAATACAGCATGGCACCTGTGTGTTTTTAGGGGATGGTTTCTGTTCTCATATATGGAACTAAAAATTCAATTCACTGAATATTTTGAAAACTGGATAAATGCATTTAATTAATTTAATTGGTAGTTCATGTGACATTAAAGATTATAAAGAAAAATTTTCAAACATTTATTATTGTTTTTCTCGTAAATTTCGTATTTTATCTATAGATAAATGTTATTCGGCTTTATTATTTTGCTGACGTAGGTGGAGTGAAATTACACATAATCCTTTTCTAAATAATTATCAAAAAAAATTGTCAAAAACAACAGAAGTTTTTATAGTTTTTCTATTGGGTGCAATTCAATTATTTTCATCATTGAAAATGTTTAGAGACTTGTACTGGCTCATCCCTATTTTACGATGTAGTTGTTAGTTAGTTGGGTATAAAAATCAAAGAAACAAGATATTTGTAGGAATTTATGGCTCAATATAAAACTTTTAAAGTGTTTATGTTTCTCATAAACCAAAATGTAATAAAATATTTAATGATTAATTATTCTTCTGTACTCTGTTGTACATGACTGTCACTTTTATTTGGATTGTGGGTTGGAATAGTCAGGGTGTTTAGTCTCATACATTTTATTTTGTATAAAACGATTTGAGTCAAATACGATAATGGTTTAAGATTTCAGCCATGATTCATGTTCAATAAAAAAAAGTATAAATGAGATAATGATTCCTATGGTTTTACAGATAGGTCACACTGTATACTACTACTAAATATGAAATTAATTGAACAATGCTTAGCTGACATAGAAGATTGTTTATTTATATTTCATCATTTTTGTCTTGATTTTTGTATAGTTATGGTAAACCGAGTGGTGAACTATCAAATTTATCGTCGATATGAAAATTATTTAATTTATAGTTGTACCTTTTGGATTTATTATTTTTGCCAATGTGCACTGAAAATAAATAAACAAATTCAATTTTTAATTGTGTTAATAATTAATACTGAAGAATTTAAAGGCTCATATCTACAAATATCTAGTTTCATAAAGAAATAAAATAATAAAAAAAAAATATGTTACATTGAAAATATTACATATTACATTGGTTAAATTAGAAAATGTTAGTTTAGGTCTTTTATTAGTTTATCCTTATACACTAATGTTACTCACTGAGTATGTATAGGCCCTCCATTGTAGTTGTAAATAGCTACAAGATTGATTACTTTTTATATTCTTATCATTTTAACAAACTGTTTTTGACAGGTAATTATTTAAAATAATAATTGGTTACTCAATTGAATTTTCAGGTCTAAAGATTCAAAAAAAGTTTCCGACATAAGTGGCTTGAAGAATAGGGCTGTTCCAACAAACAGTACCGAACAATATGTCTTGAGTGTAGATAAAAGCACTGGCAGTGATAGTGGAAATTATAGTTGTATAATATATCAAGGAACTGAAGAAAAGGCTAGAGCTAATTTCACAGTTGTAGTTACAGGTATGTAGGTATTAAGCCTGTATCAGACAATGCACTTTTGTTGCAGGGATTTGGTTGCCGCAATAGAATCCATGAAATTTTTCTTATCAGACTATGCAATTCTGTCGCGGCAACTGAATTGCATGAATTAGAACATGCTCTATTCCGTGCAACAAAGTTGCAGGGATTCTTTTAAGTCCCTAGTGACTTCCTAACTTTTTCTTATAAAATAAAAACGCAGCAGGCCATAGATTGTCAAATGCTTCATTGAATTGGTTCAGCAAGTACATCTTGAAGACTGGCATATATAAAAAAAATTATTTGGATTGTGTCCCAAAAAATTTTAAGGGTTGTTAGTTATATGAATATTTTTAATTTAAGACTAAAATGAAAATTAAAAATGGGATTTTCCTATTTTATGTCGGGCTTTTCTCTATCTACTGACTTAATTAAAAAAAAATAATAATAATAATAAAATCAGCTTAATTATTATAAATTTTCAGTACTTTTTGTAGAAATATTGTATAGGGTGTCCCAGAATAATGTTACAACGGAAGACCACAGATTCGTAGACTGAGAATAGGCAGATTTAGGCTAATTGACCTATATCCAAAATCGCTTCGTTTGGCCGCTAGATGGTCTCAAAGTTTGTGAAAATATTTTGAATTTTGTAAAAAGCTCGAATATGTATTAATCGATTTTGTTTATTTTTGAGATGTGGACTTTTGCTTTCAGTCTACACATTTTGGTGTTATACATAGTGTTTTTTGAAACTTGCAACTCCTACAAAATTGATGTATGGTGATAATATCCGTTCATAACTTTTTCCTCTTTCGGGCAATAATGACAACTATTTTTTATTTGATAGGTGATACCATTTGGAAGTTTTTGGGCCTCTTATAGAATTATGATTAAATGAGCGGTTTGGGTACAAAAAAATATTTTTTAAATGTCTACATTATCTTCCCACTCCTATTACAATACACTTAACAAAGTGCCACTGACTGTAATTTCAGTTTGATCTTTAAGTCATTGTACCTGCCAATTCTTAATGAGTGTTTACTACAATAAAATATACCACATATTACATTATACACACATACGACGAATTAGAGTTATTTACAACGTGCCTAATTTTATTGAAATAATTTGTAAAAAAATCAAATATAATAATATCTGCTGGATATAAAAGTAACAAAGTCGAGGTTATTAAATTTAGTACAACTCATAAAAACTGTTCAAAATGATCATCGTTGTTTCTACAACAAAGGTTAATTCGGCGAAGAAAGTTATAGGACACCCTTTGCAGTATTAAGGATTATTTTTTAAAACATTTAATGGCATTCTGGATATGCCTCCACAACTCAGTTCAGTGTTAGATGTGGAATACTGCACTGTTGTTTTCAGAGTGCCCCATAGATAATAGTCGCAAGGTGTTAACTCTGGTGAACGTACAGGCCAGTTAACAGGAAATTATCCCCTCTACTGATCCATTGACGAGAGAATCTTTAGTTCAGATACTGCCGGACATTTACAGTGAAATGTGGTGGAGCGCCATCATGCATAAACCACATGTTAGCTTTGAGTAATAATGGCACATCTTCCAATAACTCGGGTTTTGCAAAAATTCTAAATAAAATTCCCCATTCAGTCTATTGGGTAGAATAACAGGGTCAATAATAATACTCTCCGAAACAAGATCAAACTGAAATTACAGTCAACCTACAAAATCAGAGCCTACTAGCACTTTATTAAGTATTGTAATATGAGTCGAAGATAATGTAGACATTTAAAAAATATTTTTTTGTATCCAAACCGATCATTCAATCAAAATTCTACAAGAGACCCAAAAACTTCCAAATGGTATCACCTATCAAACAAAAAATAGTTGTCATTATTGCCCGAAAGAGGAAAAAATTATGAACGAATATTATAAGCATACCTACATCAATTTTGTAGGAGTTGTAAGTTTCAAAAAACACTCTGTATAACACCAAAATGCGTAGATTGAAAGCAAAAGTCCACATCCCAAAAATAATCAAAATCGATTAATACGTATTCGAGCTTTTTACAAAATTCAAAGTATTTTCACAAACATTGAGGCCATCTAGCGGTCAAACGAAGCGATTTTGGATATAGGTGAATTAGCCTAAATCTGCCTATTTTCAGTCCACGAATCTGTGTCTTGCGTTGTACACGTTATTCTGGGACACCCTGTATACATATTTCTTTAACTTGACAATAACTATATAATTCATTAGCCCGTAACCAGTAATCAAATATCAGATAAAAATTAAATAACTTTAAATAATTGACTTACACGAATAATGTCATAAATTGTACTTCAAGAAAATTAGAAGCAATGAGAGAAACCAAAATAAATTTATTAAATATGCATCATGTGTTTTAAACTGCATAACTAAAATATTTATTTTTTTATTTATAGAAGCCCTGGCCGTTAGAGTTCCATCAGATGTAAATGTAGTTGAAGAAGAAAGGTTAAGAATAGAATGTGAAGTCAAAGGAGATCCAGTGTTGTACTGGAAGTATAGTAAGTATTGCAGAAATTTAATCTTGTGTCCTAAAAATACAATATAGGAATATAAAAAAAAAATGTAAGAATTACAAATGAGAGTCCAATCTCAGGGTACGTCTCAGAAATCCCTAAATAATACTATGCAGCAAAGAGTACCTATTATTGTTTTCTTAGTTAAATTTTAGAATTGAGAATCATTCTCGGGATCCCGAAATCAAAGTTACTGATCCTTAAATACTGGTACTGATTGCCGATCCCAAAAACTGGACTCGCTAGTTGCATTGTATTTTAAATATATTTTTTTATTGGCAGAAAATGAATCCTATTCTGTATCCGGAAGTAATGTAATATTAGAAAACTACACACATGAAGGCAAGGTTATAAGGAATGGAGTTTTTATTATCGAGAAAATTAGTGACAATGACAAGGGAGAGGTAACTTGTATTGGAGAAGACATCGCCACTGGTCAGTCCGTTCAAGATACGTGTAGGGTGAGAGTAAAAGGTGTGTAATTAAGTTTACATACAACAAAGATAACTTTGAATTGAAGTCAGTTTTAATTGAGATTTATTTAACAAAATGGGGAATTAGATTATAGTGTTATTGTACATTTGGTACATATCTATATAAATTTATCATTGGAGTGTAAATTGGATCTCAAAAAATGCCTCCTAAGATCCATGTTATAGAAAAAAAGATCCGGATAGTTTTCATGTAATTTTTTTATTTTGTAGGTAAATATGCCGCCCTTTGGCCTTTCCTTGGAATTTGTGCTGAAGTAATAGTCCTATGTGCCATTATTGTTATTTATGAGAAGAAACGCAATAAAACGGAACTTGAAGAAAGTGATACTGACCAAAGTCCAGACCAGTAAGTGCCTTCAAAAAAAATACTTGAAATATGTTGGCTATTTTTTTTATTCGAGTTTGTGACTTATTAGAAAAAATTTAAATTACAGAGTAATCCTTAAACATATTCCAATTATAAAGGAAATGATTATTTTCAGGATGTTCCAAATATTCTAGTTTGCGATAGAATGTATGACTATCGGTTTTAGCCTATTCAATGTGCATTCTATAATTAGTCCATTATTGATAGATGCTATGATGAAAAACAATAGTTCTAATAAACATGTGCCTGAAAACGCTTCCTAAAGGAGAAAACGCATTAGGCAGTCGCGGTCCGTTCTTTAAATAGTTGAGGTATTGTTTTAGTAGTTAAAAAAATGAGTTCTATGGAAGAGGAAACTCGTCTCGATCACATTGTGATCTTCCGAGATTCTTTGGACAAGATTGGTGGAGAACGCGATGATTTGAAACAGTGAAATTTGAACCTTATATGAACATATAAACTTATCGAAATGCTCATACAGTTTTGGATTGCTTTAGAAACATAGCTAATGCTATGCATTTTTTGGACATCCTGTATAATATTAACACCAATATTGATACTATATACGAGGTCTTTTCAAAAAATAACCGAATTTTTTTAATTACACGCTAATCTGTTTTGTAACACATGTTCTTGGATTGTCGATATCTCATTTAGTTGGAGTGTTTAAGTGTTAGTGACGATTTTTGAAATGGGCGATTTTTTGCAACAGTCATGCAACGTAAAATTTTGCGTGAAACGGTAAAATTTTCATGGAAACCTTTCAGCTTTTGAAACAAGCTTACGGAACTGATGTTCTGGATCGTACACAATGTTACGAATAGTTTTCATGATTTAAAAACAGTCATCAGTAAATTGAAGATGACCCTCGACCAGCAAGGCCTTCGATTTCAACTGATGACTCTCACGTTGTGAAAGTCAAAGATCCGGTGCATGCAAATCACCGATTGACTTTCAGATAAATTGCTATAGAGGTTGAATTCATCATGCATATCAATTGGGACATGCCATGAAATTTTGACTAAAAAATTAAAAACACATCGAGTTGCAGCAAAAGAGTGACCGCAAAAAACCTGTGATTTTCGCCCATTTTTTCACAATTCACAGAGAATTAAAAAAAACAAAATATGTTTTTGGTCGCAAATTACTTGTCGTAAAAATCTGAAATGAGCATAGCTTTTAGTCATGACAATAAATCTTTCTTTGTATCAAGAATCATTCGATAGAAAAATTCACATGCTAATAGTTTTTATATTTATTGGTAATATTCAATTCTTCATTTTGGGCGTCTTTTCAACCTCTAAATAGGGTGATTTTTAAAAATTTTCAAAAAACTAAAAACTATGCTCATAATTTTTTACGAGTAATTTGAGAAAAAAACATTTTTATCTATTTTCTTTAGTTCTCCGGGAATTGTGAAAAAACGGGCGATTTTTGCGGTCACTCTTTTGTTCCTCGTTTGATGACCGACCAAAGGAAAGAAACTTGTGCGAACGTTTGTCGGCAACTCCTTGAACAATCCAATGACGATAATGGGAGACAAAAGCTGGAGTTATGACAAAAGTTCAATCGTCACAATGAGTTGGCAAAGGATCTCCACACTCCAAGAAAGCACTTCAGTCTCGATCCAATGTCAAAGTGATGCTCACTGTTTTTTTCGACTTTAATGGAATTGTGCATATTTCTAAAAGAAAAATGAGTGCTGAAAAGACAGTTTTTAATATTCTTATTGATGACATCAAAGCAAATTTGTCACAGACTTTAAAGGCCATTTCAAATGAATCTATTCAGGACTGCTTCGCAACATGAAAACACCACTGGGAAGAGTGTATGAATAGGGGAGGAGACAAGGACCAATAATGTATAAGATTAATAATAAAGTTTAAAAAAATAATGTTCGGTTAGTTTCTGAGCAAACCTCGTATCTGTATCGGTTAATCACTAGTTTTTGAGATACAGTGTTGAAGTCCCAGAAAATACTTTACTCGGATTAATAAAACTTAGACTGTCAATTTAACTAATGGCAAAAAATATTATTTTCCTGATTTTTTAAAAAAACATAAAACACACCACAGAAATGAGACAACCCCCAAATCCAAAAGCCAAAGGCTTGTGCGGAAGGGGGCTACACTTGAAAAAACGAGGACAAACACCCATTAGTAGGAAGCCTAGCCGAGAAATGCCTGCCACCGCACTCTCGACCGACTGCGCTACCGTGGCGATCATGATCATGATTCAATCGATATATTTAATTTTTAATTGTATTTCAAAGGAAAAATAAATATGTATATGAATTTTTTTGTGAAAATATAGTTGAGCACAAAAAAAGCTTAGAAATTTCCCATCTGCTGGGGCAGTAAATTCAAAATTTCTGTATCAATTTGAAGAATTATTTGGACTTGATGAACTTACGCCTAATAATACTGCCTCTGCACTCGGTAGCAGTATGTTAATTGCCGCAGCGAAGGTGTTAACCCTTTTATGCCCGGAATGTACTTAAGAGTAACTCTGTATATTTCCCATAAATTGATAGCTACTCTTCATTCTCTTCATTTAATGAAGTGTTTGGTTAATATTTATTGTATTTAATTATTTTTTTTTCCAGAAAGAACACACCCGATCACGGAAAAGAGGCAAACTTAAGGCACAGGCAGTGAATATGACTTTGTTAAAAATAAAAACAGTACATAAAAATTCATCAGATATAATTAGAATCTTAACAGTTTAATTCGTCATGTGTAGTCGAGACTATTTGACTCAGCAACTGTCCGAGGATGTTTGATCTATTATACAAGTTATCGGTTAGGTTAGATTTAAATTGTTATGAAGCCTTCCCACTCGGACTTGATTTGCCTTAGATAACAGCCTATCGTATTGTAAGTTAAACACATATTTTTCGTATTCCCAACTCTTTTTTTATTTTTGCGGTTTTTTAGGACTTAAATCTGTAGATATGTAAAATTATTGTTATGCAATTAAATCGGCTGGTATTTAACGTAAACCATTGTCATACCATTGTAAATAAATAAAATTAAGAAAAATGTATACACTCCTGTTTATATAATTGTATTGTTATAAATTGTGTTTATATATGTGGACTGTTTTTATTTTATATCTACGTAGTTTTCATTTTTTTGTGATAAGGTATAAAAGTGCTTAAAAATATCCAAAGATCATTCTTACTTTTGTTAAGTTTTCATTTTTCCACAGTTAAAAGTCGCACTCTGTGTCTTTTCTAATCGGTACTAATAGATATCGTACAGTAGGCCGCTTCTGTTTCACCGTTCATGTGCAGAATTCATACTACTATCGACTCATTCATAAGTTTTTGACCAAAAAGTAGCAACCATAGAACTTCCAGTCCGATCTAAGGGGTGAGAACTCAAATTTTACGTTTAGGCTTAATGAACCGACGAAATAACTTTTCGCGTCTAGTCTCTTTGATGAGAAAATGACAAGGTACGTTTTTATTGACACTGCCAAATGATTACAATCTGTAAGGGAGTAAAAGCTAATACATAATTTTACCTATTATTAATATTTCCTAATCACATATAATAATTCAAAACAATCGTGTTGGTGGTGACTTTAATAAGTAGTTAGGTTTTCTTTACAGTAAGATTGGATTGGCCAGCTTCCATAAAATTAAAGTGCTATGGTTGATCTGCTTCTTAAAATATAAAATAGCTATCCATTTTTAATATGAAATCTTACGCATAAATATAAATATATACTATTAGACTTATATTAAAATAACAAATGACTTAAAAATAGAGAGAAATAATTTATTTTTACTTAAAAGAGAACATTTTTAAAAGCACTGTTTTTAAGTCATCATGTAGATTTAAATGATATATAAATAATAACGTAAAGTTTCCATTTTTAAGGTGGGAGTTAGAAGGGCCCGGATTGAACGTTTCAATTATTTTTTGATGGCTTTATTTTCCTTCTCGTTTGTTTATTTTAATTTCCACCTTAAAACGTTAAATTCTTCTAATTAGTATTTGCAATTATAGATAAAAAAAATATTGGTGCTTGCACAAAAATTGTTGGTCAGTTGAATAAACAAGAATATATCTTGAAATTTTTGAAAATCTGTTGTATAAGCCGACAGCCGTTATTACCACCAATTTAAAATAAGCTTTTTTAGAAGAGATTTAAGTGATACATTTTTGTCATGTCATGAGATCTCAGTGAAATTTACTACCATGTTTTCAATAAACCTTCAGTAAGTTAATAACAAATCGTATTATTCCACAACCATACATTTGAGGGGTGCCACTGTAAAATGGTAAAATAAAGCGTTTTTGTGATTTTTTTATTAAAGGAAAAGTATGAGCATAACAATATTCATGTTATTAACCATGTCTTTAAATGTTCAAAAAAATATATTTGTTCATAAATGGTATAAAAGGGCTATTCATGCAACGCATGTCGAATTTGAGGCGCTCTGCGGCATGCAGCGTAACTGATGCAAATTTGAATATGGTCAGTGGCGGCTCGCGACATTGAGAATAGGTGCAGCATATTCATTGATTGACTAAAAAGAAAAAAAAGCGTAGCTGGTGAAAATTTTCAAGGTCAAACGGCGTTATATGAATCTGAAAATTTTTAGTTGCATTTGAAATATTACCGAAAAACTGACATTCGTGAAATAGATTTTCATTTAGATTTTATAAAAAATAGAAATATTAGTTCGGCTTGTGGACTTCCGCCAACATTAACGCACACCGTATATGTTCCAAAGAAGCTTCGTGATTACGACAGCCTCGCGTGACGTTCCCAAAATTGTTAAATCCCTTCTTATTCCACATGCCCAACTTTACAACATCCACAATTATACACGGCATACAGAAAAGTGTTTTTAAACGAACACTTCGACACAACACAATCACTTATACTCTGAATACCAATATATGTTGTCTTTTGACTTCCCTTTTTTCCACATCGAGAGAATAAGGCACAGGTCTCTCGCAATTTAAAAAATCCTTTCTGGAAAATGACATTTCCAATAAAATACGCACTGGATCATACATAGGAAACATTTCTACAATTCTTATACAAAACAAATATTAACTAAGAACCGTTATAATCGTGCACTGGGCAACACGTATCGTATAAACTGTTAAAGGCAGGCAATGGGCGATGCTGCTACAATTTCTGCGTCACTCATTCCCCCACACCGTCGTTTATTCCCGCATTGGCCGCCTCATTCCCACGACAACCGCCGTGAACAACGCTACAAAAAGAAGCAGAATACAGACTGTTTTCAATCTGCCTCACTTGCATCATATAATACTATATGTCATATGGTACGAGGTTGATGTTCGCGTTCAATGAAGGCAATGTTTTTTTAGCAGGTGTTCACCATACAACTATTCTGTTTATTTCTGCGTATTAAACAAACAAACACAATACATTTCCAATATAGAATTATACCTAAATTATAAAACTAAAAATAATTTTAAATTGCACAACCAAACGGAAATTTTAGGTGAAGCGGTGCATCACCTGACCAACTGTCACTGAATATGGTTAGAGGAGAGAAAGGGGGGCAATCATTTGTCAATATAAATAATATTAAAATCAACTTATTGAAAATCCCGTACTTAGGAGTTATTTTAGATATGTTCAAAATTTAGAGCGAATAGAATGAAAATTGTTGGAATTATGCTGCATGCCATTTAAAAACATATTTTATATGCCTTATAAAACTTTGATATATACACTATACTAACGTAATGGCATTTGTTAGTATTAACGACATCTGTTGGTAGTATTAGAGAAGTTAGAAGTCAAAAGGTAAGTCATTAGGCTGTACCATTTCTGCAGGTGTCGATGTGTTATAACTAGGGTTAACAGATCTATTTCATGACAGACCCGGAGACATGACCCATTTCTATAATTGATGCCTAAAAAAAGACAAATTGTTTTCGAAGAAATCGATGTCTAAAAAAAAAACGAGAAATATTTACTTCGTAACAAACCCGGAGATATGAATCCAGACATGGATTTTGGGGAGCACGTTGTATCAATATAATTGATGTCAAAAAAAAACAAAAAACGGGAAATGTGGGAAATGTTTTCGAAGAAATCACGATTTTTTCTGCAACAAAGAAAACCCGGATGTGCCATCAAAACCCGGAGATCTGGCAACCCTAGTCACAACACAAGTAATTATTTTGGAGCAATCTGACGCACTTAGGTAAGAGCTTGGAATTTAAAAAATAAAATTTTGTCAGGCATAAAACTCCGTTCCCCTTATTATAGGTTTAAAGCATCTTTTCAAATAAAAAAAATAGAATTTTTGAAACTTATACAGTGGTCTTGCCCCTTAAGGGGTTACATACCCCTGTGCGCAGCAAACATTATGTATACTTATTTAAAAATTTTGTTTGAAAGGTTATTAAAAGAAAAATATTAGAGAATGTTGATTATAGTTTTTTATTGAACTTCATAATAAAAGTACAAATTTTTTTTTCCTTTGTTAACACTATTTTTTATGGGGTCAAATGGGCTACTGATAAAAACGACGTCGCTTCCGGGATAACATGATAACCGCCAAAAATGATACAATATGGAAAAACTAAAAATAATCTTGTAAAACAATGTAGTCATCTGACGGAGAGGTTTTTTTTGAAATATAAATTTTGGTGGTTTCAAACTTTAATGTGTAATTATTGATTATAGAAAATTGTCCTATAAAAAAATTTAAAAAACGATCAAAAATATTGAAAATGGACTGAGTAATCGTGCTGCCTTTGTCTAAAAACACAGTTTCGAAAAAAACATGTTCAAAGTTTTGAGTAGGTAAAAAGTGAACTTATGGCTAGTCTTCTATGCCAGTTTTGTATTGTATAGTTTCTTTCTCTTGCATCCTGGTAATGGTTTTTTAAATTTTATTATTAACTTTGGCTCCTTCTGTAGATTGTGTTGATGTAATCCTGGCATGTTTCAATCAATATCTTCATTAAACTTCGTACAAAATACACATTTAAATCCAAACCCACATTTACTTTTTTTAACAAATTTCACATCACATTTTCGGCACACTAGACACACGGCAATTCCAAAAAAGAATTGCAGCAAAATGAATGATCCATCGAGAAAAAGTTTTATCACACGAAACATTGACTGGTTTTCCACATAATTATTTCACAGTTATACTAGTAAAATTAATCTCAGACTATTGCTTTAGCTGTGGGATGATCTCACTTCTTTTTGGAGGAATGCTTCGTTGCTCTTTTGATCCTTTACTATCATTTTTTAAAATTTCAATAAAACTCGGCTGCACAAGACAACAAGACAATATTAGAGTCACAAATGAACACAAAAGTCCCACAAATTTATTTTCTAAAGAATCTGGTTCAAAAGGAACAATAGAAATACAAACCCCCCTAATCACTCAAACAGCAAAACATTGATCCACAGCTTACAGAAACCAACTAGTTCAGATGAGCTGTTATCGTAAAACACACAGCAGGTTGCTCATTACTGTCAGTCTGTAGACACCATCCACTATTTGTCAGCTGTGTATAATAAACAGAGATGTATTTAAAAATTATAGTTTAGAAATCGTGTTCGATAAAATTTGGAGTGAGTGATAATAGTGAAATGAATCAATGTCCAGAAACATTAATCCTTACAATAATAATTTAAGTTTTTCTGGATTGTCTGTCTAAGAACGTAAATAACATGAATATAATAAAAAGTATAGGTATACATGATAAAAATATTTTAAAGATATTTGTAACACTTTTTCAAAAATGTTTTCTAATGATTCACAGTATCATGAATGACATTATCCTGGAATCGAAGAGGGGCAAAGGACCCCACACAAACCTTATGGGAAATGGCTCCCAGTTAAATTGGCTGAATTTTTTATACGTTACCTATCTCGGCGTCCTGAACAAATGTCATGTGCGCAAAGCCCAAAACTCCACAGGTTTCGAGATAAACCCACCTAACCTCTAGAAATCTACCAAACCACAAACAGTTGGCTGAATTTTTTATATGTTATGTATTTTGGCATCCTGAACAAATGTCTTTATTGGGCTCAGAGGCCCAGAACTCTACGGGTTCCGAGATAAACCTACCAAACCACAAGCAGGC